TATTCATTGGTATTGATACTTTCTTTTCCAAAATGTAAAAATTAACTTGAAAACACATATTTTAACTCATCTCTCCCTATGGCTTATCAAATCAACTTAACAGTTCAAAACATAGGATTTTTCAAAGGTAAAAGTTCAAAATATTAGTTCAAACGAAGGAGTTTACCAGCTCACCTAAAAATTTAGCATTCTATTCTTTAATTAAAAGTTGAAGTTTCACAATAGGATTGGACTACATCTAGTTTCTAGTATTTATCCAATTTTTTCCTAGCTAGATCTTTGCATTAGAAAAATACAACAGTTTTGGTTTATTGATAAAGAGGATTGGGGTTGACTTTGTGAGAGGGATGCCAGTTTGAGTACACTTTTAGGGCTGCAAGAACTACTAGAGGCTTGGCTTCTTGTGAAGAAATGATGGTTTCTTGTGCAAGTGGCTAAGGCAAGGGAGTTTGCTGATGGCTATGGTTGGAAGTTCTATCCATGGTACCAAAAGCCACGGATGCACCATTTCCTTTTTCTTAACTTATTTTCTTTTTTTTTATAATTAATTTTCATATAATATAAAAGAAAATTTATAAACACATAAAAAATAAATTAAACTAAAAAATAAGGTCCCATTGTGCTTCATGGACCCTAAGAAAAATGTGGGGCTTAGTCCAATCCAAAAAAGAAAATTTAATGGGTCTTAAAGCCAAATTTTGAAAATAGTCTAATATAATTAAGGCCAATGATAAATTGGTTTAAAATGAAAATGGAATCAAGCCTAAAATGTCCTAAATTATATAGGCATAAGTTTAGTTCAAAAATTATGCACAAGGCAAATATAAGTCATAATATCCAAAAATATGCAAAAAAGTCTTTAAACTATTCAAATAAGTCATTATTCTTTTATTGCTTTCACTCAAGCTCTTACACTTTTATTTTGAACCAAATAAGCTTTTATATTTTTCTTTTAGGCAAAATAAGCCTTTATGCCTAATAGTTGTTGTTATATGCCTTTGAGCCAATTGGATTGGTCAAGGAATATATATTGTCATTTAATGCATATTTAATCGCATAACTATATGTCATAAAGGTTTTCCTTCATGTTAGTGTAATAATAAGGAGTTATTAAGTACTAATTAGATGAAGCCCATGGAACATAAAGGCCTTGCAAAAGAATTGTAAAGCTGTTACAATTATGAGATCACTATGCATTAAGGTCATGTTCCTAAATTGTTCCTGGTCATTGTATTGTCAAGACAAAGTATTAACAATGCTCAAAGACTAGTTCTTGTTAAGCTCTTTTACTTAAGAAGTAAGCAATCGATCTCATAAATAGAAGTATATAGGATACTTGAGGATGATATGTAGGTGCTTGTTAAAGAATAAGTTCATTGAACATGACTCGCTATGAGAACTTCATTTGGTATTTCACTCAAGTGTTTATGGCATTGTTCTCATGTGATAGTCATGCAGTCAGTCCTTGAACTTGAGACACCAGGTCATCTTGTATGGGGAATGATATACTTTGATTTCACCCATACAGATTTGGAGGTAACCAAATGCCTAAACAGGGTATTTTTGGGTATGCCATGAAGAATACGAAGGCGAATGAATAGTCAAGAGAGGATTCATCACCCCAAGTGATATGAAGGGATGTATCTCACTTATTCTCAATTTTTGATTAACTTATACAGAGCCTTTGGCCAAAGCATGATGAATTTGAGAAAAGTTAGTTTCCTAAATTCATAAGGTTAGTCATGAATTATGAGAACTAATATGGAATGTCATAAGTAGACACTGAGCCATGCTTAATGACATATCAAGGATATTTGATGAAAGAACCATATTACACTGAAAGGCTTATCACTAAAAGACTTTGTCAAATTTTTTAATTGACTTTCTAACATTTGGATGGTCATGATGTATTACTAGATATTGCTCATGATTTATAAATGTAAATCAATTATCAAATTGATATTTGATTAAGATTTATATTTATTGCCAACATGTTAGAAGCCTAATGGGTCACACGCATTAAGTGACATAATTAGGATTAAATAAGGATAATTAATTAAGTTGGACTTAATTTGAATAGACTAAAAGAAAGTGAAAAATTAATTAAGTTCACAGAGACTTAAGTAAATTAAAATATAACTGTTGTATTTAGGGTTACAACTTAGTTTGGCTCTATAAATATATTATGTAAGCAAATTAAAACTCTAAGCCTCCAGCCACTTCTCAGCCATTTCATAAAAGTAAGAAAAGAAAAAATTATTTTTTTATTCTGACAAAAAAAAGATTCGGCAAGAATTTTTAGTCTTTTTGTTTTAGAAAAAACTTGCTAACAGAAGTAAAAAATCTTAACTTTGAGAAAATCTTATTCTGTCACTGTGTGGATTACTGTTAAAGGCCAAACACTTGAGTGGCTGAAGATTTGAGAAATCTTAAAGGTCAAGATGCAAAGATTTCGGTTGCAGGATTTTAAACCGTCTTATTCTTTTTTCGAGTTTTTGTTCCATCACAAGCCTTTTAGATTTAATTGGCTCTTGATTACGATATATAAAGTAAGGTATGTAACTCTTAAACTTATGAGTGTTCATAATTAAATTAAAAAGTTACACGAAAAATACAAATATTAATCTTGTAGGATTTGGCTGTTTCTTTGATTAAATGCTAGTTTATTATTCTATTGTGTTATATTTTTAATTTATTTGATTATTTTTCACATTTGAGCATGTGATTGAATCCTAGCAATAGTTGTCTTAGTCAAAATGTCATTTGTCATTTTATATCATGTGATGCTGACATAACATATTGACATGTTACAATTAATGATGACATGTCATGTATACAAGTCATACTTGATGATGACTTATCATGTTAATACGGCACATAACATGCTCATGTAACATTTTTCACCCTCCATATAAAGTTACGTCAACGCCACATGAGTATAAAATGGTAAGTGGTATTTTGATTAATAACAATTAGTCAATCATTAGTCATTTGGGCTAATCGGATCCAAAATAAAAATATAGACTTATATGAAAATAAAAAAAAATAAAAACTTATTTAAAAGTTTTTGAATAGTTCAAAAGTTTTTTCGAGTAATATGTTTAAATAAAAGTAACAATAAATATTTTGGCACAAAATGGAATGTTTTCTGAGTTCTTTAGTGATGATGAGACTTGTGCCTTTGAAACCTATTTATTCGATTCTTGATTCTAACTTAAATTTCAAGTGATGACTTCAATTCTTGCCTTACCTTACATAAACTCTAAGTTTGGTTAAAATTTGATCATGTAGAAGTTAAGGGTGATACCATACCACTTACATGGGTGTATGTTAGGGAAGACTAAATCATTATAAATTACTTTGTACTGTCCATTGTCCACTTCATTCTCTCCTTAATTTAGAAATTTTCATAATTCCTTTATTAAGAGCCTCTTTGGCCTAGTTTTTTTATCTCAAAAACTACTATGAAGTTTTTATAAAAAATAATACCTTTTAAAATTAAGCTAAAACTGTTTGGTAAGCTGTTTGCAAAATAAATTATATAAACTCTAATTTTCATTAAAATTACCATAAAAGGTATTCATGTCATTTTCAATCACCTAATAAACCATAGCCGAACAAGTCTACTTTGAGTTTATATACAATTTTAGATGTTAAATTCAAAGAAATCCTTACAAAAATAGAACAGCTTTAAAACTTTATATAGTAGTAATAGTATTAGATTTTTGTTGATCTAGCAGGCAATTGGACCATGATGCTTCAATTCACCATGAAAAAAAAAAAGAGAGAAAGTAATGTATTTGACATTAAAATCCTTTTGATGAAGAAGAGAGAAAACCTTTAAATAGTACTTGAATGTAATTTTGAATTTTGGGTCTTTTTTTCCCTTTATCTTTATAAGAACAAAAAAATCTCAAATTTTGCTATTTTTTTATTGAATCTTTTTTCTTTTTTCTATTTGTCTTTGTGGAAAGAGTTGGAAGAGAGAGAGATCACGATTTGCGTTGAAAAAAGATGATTTGTAGGGAAAGGGAGATCAATTGAGATAGAAGGGTATTTCTTGAAAAGCTCGCATGTTTTTAAAAGAAGAGAAGAGAAGGCTCTTATCTGGAATTTTTCTTTAAACTCTTTTTTTTAATGTTATTTATTAAAAAAAATTTTAAAATTTTAAGAGCTCAAAATTCTTTTTAACTTAACTTCTATTTTTAAAAGATAGATAAACTAAAAAAAAATCAAACCAAATAGGCACTAAGTGTTATTCACCCCAACACTACTTTGCTGGGACCAACAAATTTATGATGTGGAAATGGTACTAATTAGTAATTATCATGAGGATAACAAATAATTTATTATTATTATTTTCATTAATGACCATATTCATTATTCAAAACCTGTTAGAAATATAGGTATAGATATAGATATAGATATAGATATAGATAGATTAGTTATGATATAATTAGTGTACATTTAATTATTTGTTTATTTTTAATCAATTATGCGATTTTTTTAATTTTTTTCTTTTGCTTATAAATTATACTAGTCGTCAAAAGCAAAAATCAAGTAGCAAAAGATGAAACCTAAATGGAAGAAGGAAGAAGTTCTGTACCACAAGAGAGTTTGCAAGAAGAATAAATTGAATTTCTTATCATGATTAATATTGCGTTGGCCAAAAGTGGCTTCTCTTTCACAAGGGTGGAAAATTCAGCAGATTACAGGCGTGTGTTCGTTTATTTATCCAATTACTGCTTAGACGCGTGCCTGCTTGGTTTGGCAAGTGTTGAAAAAGGTGCTGAGAAAGTAAGTGAAGGGGGAGGATGTTTGTCCTTTCCCTTTAGTGTGACCAAACATATTTAATAGTTGCATGTACAAAAGTGCACTTGGTTAAAAAAACAAAAAGAACCAGAGAAAAGAGGTTAGACATCACTGTCAAAGCCATCAAATGAGTGGGTGGGAAGGGTGGCCATTAGTGTCACCACTTTATCAGCCATGCTCTAATCATAACTCATCGTCAACAATTCTGATTAAGAAAAGTTCATAAATAAGCGAGGGTTTTAGGGTTCTGAAGCCTTTGCTTGTTGCGTGAGGCTGAGAAAACATAAGATCTTCCATCTCTCCTCTCTGACCAAATTCTGCCACTCCTAGCAGAAACATCAAACAGTTTTCAGGGACCAAGTTATTGTTTCCTCTCTCATCTTTACATTTCGATTCCTTTCCGACATCTTCAATCCCCAATCCTTTAGCATAAGTCCAAAAGCCCGTTAAGCGAGTTTCCCGATGTCTTCAGAAGTTGCAATTCAATGCTTGCTTGTTTCTTTTGTTTTTTTCCGCGCTTCCGGCGGTATCGTCTGAAGCAGGACACTGGTTACTCCTCAATTCCTTTTTCTCCTTACAATGTTTTGAGCCTCTATTGAATAACCCACCATTTTTGTCATTTTTCTAAGCCTAAGATTAGGCGAGTTAATTAAAGACATAAATTGCTAAGAAATTTGGATTCTGGATTTGTTCGTATTTTAATGGGTGGTATTTCTTTTTTCCTTCTTTTTTTTTTTGGATTTGGTGGTCGTATTGTGCTATGGGATCTGTTGAATGAAATGGCAGAGTTATTGGGGATCAGCAGCAGCATCAGTGCTATCAATTAGCATTAGCCTTCAGAATGGTGGCAGTTACAGATGAGCAACAACAAGAACTGCGAGAGTGAAAAGAAGCTAAAAAGCAGAGATTTTGAGTGCTACAAGAAAATTGCAACAAATTCTGACACTCCGGAAGACCGAAAATCTTAGAGTAAGAACGCAGTCGTCATCACCGCCCACTAAGCCTTATCCATCAAATTACCCATTCCACGCCACAAGAAAGAAACAAGAGAAATTCCAGGCACACATACCCATCATGAATAGCTTCAGCTTCTCCAAAATTTACAACTTCAAGAACAAGGCATAGATCCCACCCAACAAACAGTCCTACCCCAAACCATAGAATATACAAAGGTATAGAGAGAGAATGGGAATGAAGAGCGTTGGAGGAGAAATAGTTCAAGTCCAAGGAGGCCACATTATTCGATCCACAGGACGCAAAGACCGCCATAGCAAGGTCTATACGGTAAAAGGTCCTAGAGATCGCAGGGTCCGGTTATCAGCCCACACTGCGATTCAATTCTATGACGTTCAAGACAGGCTAGGCTATGACAGACCCAGCAAAGCAGTAGACTGGCTCATCAAGAAAGCCAAGTCAGCTATCGACAAGCTTGCTGAGCTACCACCATGGCACCCAAATACTAACACTTGTACTGCTGTGGAAACTGATGAGCCTAATGCTTGCTCTGGTGAAATGGCTATAGCAGAGCAATCAGAATCGTCTGGATACAATTATCAGCTTAGGCAGTTCGACAATAACCCAAACAATGATTCTTCTTTCGGTGCACAACAACTTGGGAACGACGCCATTGCTGATACCCTGAAATCTTTCTTTCCCACTAGCACCACTGCTTCTTCAATCAATTTTCCAAGCTACCCACCTGATTTAATCTCAAAAACAAGGATCCCCACCGAAGATCTCGGCCTATCTCTTCACTCATTTCAAGACCCAGGTCTAATTCACAGCCATTCTCAGGGAGACACAAGGCATACGCCATCAACCGGTCAGACCCTTTTTGCGGGCTCAGCTCAAGTAGGGTTTGAGACCAATTTTCAGCGAATGGTAGCTTGGAGTACGAACACCAGTGGAGAAGATACCAGTGCTGACTTTGTCTTCAACTCGCTGCCATTGGCACAGCAACAAGCATTGGTAGGGCAAGGCTCAACATTTTCTCAAAGGGGACCCCTTCAGTCCAGTTTTTTAGAATCCGTTCGCACTTGCGATGATTTGCCGGTTGCTTCCACAGACCATCATAAAAGACAGGAAATTCACGAAGCATCCATATTTGGGAGCCGATTTGCATCTGATGGATTGCCAAGGTTTAGCATTCGGCCACTAATTCATGGAGAGGAGGAGCATAGTTCTGTTTCAAATAGACCATCTTCTTCTCCCAATTCTTACTGCTGATTGGAGAACCGAGCATCTCCCTTTTTCATAGGTACTTTCTGTTGTTCTTAGAATTATCTGCTTTTGCACCAATTCTGCTTGTTTCCATGAAAACATTTTCAAGCAAATCTCCCCTTCCCCACCCCTTTTAAAAGGAAAAACAAAACAAAACAAAACAATTAGCAAGTAGCCTTTTTGTTTCCGTTGAATTTTGTACCATCGACCGTGGTAAATGATGTTCCGGTGAATCGAAGAAGAGGCGATTCCGTTCAATTCAGTTGTTTAGCATTGGAAGTTGGAATCTTATCGGTTGAAACCCCTTTTTATGGTTTTATTTGGTTTGCATTAATTCTCTGTTCGTTCGGAATTGATGTTGTATGTGTGTCTTAGGTGGCTCAACTTTTGTTTCAAGAGAACCGGAGTCCCCTTAGGTTGAATTTGGTTTATAATATTAGAATATGGCACACCCACTAGTGGGTTGGTATTTTCTTTCAAATTTATGTTATAAGAAAAATACTAAACAATCCATAATTTTATATTTATAATAATATTATTAATTTATTTTTATGTAATTTCATTAATTGATTAGTGTTACTTGACTTGTAACACCAAACTTAGTATTGACTCCATATATACTCAAATGGTAGATAGGACTTATGTGTCCAATTATAAACATAATTTTGGGACGGAGGAAGATAAAACAATATCAAAGAGCATATCATTATTACTTTTCTTTATTTTTTTTATACATAACTATATGTTTTCATCTCTTTATTCCCCCAGTCTCTAAGACTGTGTGTTCTTTAAAATATAAAGGATATATTATGATATGTGAAATTGGGTGTGAATGTTTTAGTCATCTTAGTAAAGGATACATGAAAAACAAGATAAACATATGATAATTTATTCATCAAACTTGTCTTATTCGATTTTATGTATAATCCCATCAACATATGCAAATTAATTTCCTTGCATAAATACTGGTTAATTCTCAGGCTGAGGGTGTTTTTGTTAAGTTGCTATTATAAATTGTATATTGTTCGAGAAAAATTGACTATATCCAGGAGTTGCCATTAGCTTCAACTGAATTTGGTGACGAAAAAAGCTATCATTTGTTTAATATTTTTTTAAAAAAAAAGGTTATTTGATTTTAGGGTTAATATAAAAGTAGGCAATAATTAAAACTCATATAAACAAATGACTTTCTTGATTATTTTCAATTTCTTGGATTTTCTCAATCTTTATTTACTAGTGGATTTAAAAAATCTTGATGATTTAGAGAATTTGAAATCCATCTACTTATACCATCTCAAATATATTCGTGCATTGAATGTTAACTAAATTTTAAATAATATGTACCATCACCCTTCAGAATTTATGTAACAAACCAAATAGTACAAGTCATTCTCCCAATTTCATCTTCCCAAAAACTTAGCATTAATTTATTTTCTATCTTAATAATAAGTAGTTTGAAAAATCTATCTATTATGATAGTTTGGAGTGCGTCGTGTTAGAAAGGGATGAATAGCACTTTAAATATATTTAAATATTAAGAATTTATTGAAATGAGTTTGAAAGATAAAGGTAAATAAACAATGGAAACAAATCATCAAGAAGAAGCGGAGAGAAGTGAAAAATACCTTGTGATGGAAACAAGTTGGCTGATCTAATGACCTTATTCAAGTCTTTGGTTAATGGTTTGGGTTCTTTCCCATGCTTTTGGCTGCTGTTTCCTTTGCCTCTATGATGTTCTTGTTGTATTTTCTCGTTTCTTTGATTTTTGTTGGTTGTGCTCTGACTCTGTTTCTTGGGTTGCTATCCTTCTTTCTTCCCATTGTGTCTATTCTCTAGCAAGATTGTCTCTTTGGTTCTGATTGTTATGTACAGTTCTGTATGATGCTTTGCATCTGGTTTCTATAATATATTTGATGCTATTCAAACAAAAAAAAAATCCAAATCAATTTGTAGTGGTTGGATTTGCTTGACTTATATTCACTACCTTAATAGTTATGATTAATGATTTCGACACTTAACTTTGCTAAACTAGTGAATTTAACAGCCTCAATCAAACTTTTACAAGGTAAACTATCCCACACTCCAAAACTCAATTTTCAAACTCAAAAGAACATTTTCCTCACTCAATCACACTACTTACAACTCAAACAATGTGTAACTGATCTATGTACATCAATACCGCTTAAGCAGATTTACAAGGAAGAATACAAGTGAGCAATGTGAACTAGAAGAGAACCCCTTTTGATTTTCAGCTCAAAGCCTCTTAGTTGGATGTTCTCCTTGTTGTATATGATCCTTTTAGTTCTTTATATGGCTTGAATTCAAGTTCTAGCCATTTGGGAGGAATCTGCCCATTGGAACTATCAGAATTTACAACATGGATCTAGTTCACATGACTTTTTTAATTGGTTAATTCATGAGAAAAGCTAGTTAACTAGTTGATACTTCATTTTGATAATTAACTAACTTCTACCTTAATTGATTAAACTTCTTTGGTGCCTAAACCAAAGTTAAACTATAATCTTTAATCGATTAACTTACAACATTAATTGAATAAAGTGGCTTTCAATCATCCTTGAAATTTCTTTGGTTAATCAATTAAACCATTTTCCATCGTAGATTAATAGTGAACCTTCTGTTACCTAGAGTTCTTTGGATTGTGATTAATCAATTAACTTTGCTTGTTAACTGATTAAACATTCCTAACTTAGTATTTTCTCACCCTTTTTCAGAATTAAATGTATTTTAAACTTACGGTATTCTTGTCAAATGATATTTAAATCTAAGAAACAATGCCTATAGATTTAAGCACAATTGTTATGCTCGAGAATGGGAATGTTCTATTATAATAAAAAATAATATGGAGTCAACAATTTCTCAAAAGACGATAAGAAAACTGTCCTTTGTTTAAAGTGTAATGTCTAATAAATATATAAACTTCAAATAAATATTTGCATGTCAATGCAAAATAATCAATGTGTATCCAAGTAAGATTCACCACAAAAAGGGGGACTTTTACCAATAGATCAACTTTCGTTGGTAAATTTCTATTGACGAATACTGATCACTTTTCGACTACACTGTTGTTAACAAAATATTAATGGAATATCGATGGAAACCGACAAAATTTGCTGATGTTGTGCTTCCTTCAATATAGGGTTGGCAAATGATTGGCATGTAATGATAAGCGAACGCAATGAATTCCTACAAACCACCTCCGTTGGTATTGTTTATCTTTGACGAAATGTAGCGACGGTATACCAATGGACTTGCGTGTTAGTATGTATCCTACATTGCCAAAGTAATTACTGACAAGTTGCAATGTCAATATGTATCCCACATTGCTAGCAAAATTACTGACAGATAAATTGTCAGTAATTAAATTTTTAAATATTGACGAAATGTTTGTCAGTAACTTGAATATATTAACAGTCTGCTCGAGTTTCCCTCATTTTCCCATCGCCACTTCGCTCTTTACTCTCTCTCTCACTCTCTCTGCATTCTCTCTTCATCTTCGTCCATTAAGCATCCCTGTCATTGACCCACTCCTCCCCTGTGTTGACCCACCCCACCCACCATCAATTGAGAATCCAAGTCGCTATGGTAATTTCTTACTTGTATTATTTCTAATACTACATCTCCTTATGTTTTAATTTTTGCAATGGATCGATGGATGCTAATTAGGGATTTATGCAATGAATACTTGCAAGTCTTAGAAATTTTATTAAATTGTTGCAATTTCTCCTTCCGATCTATCAATACTTGGAATTCATGTCTTGAAAAGGAATGTGGGTCCCTTTTATGTACTTTGGCAGGGTCAAGTCAAGTCTCTATTGGGTTTAAATTCTAATAAGAATTCATAAACTTTGATCATTGATGTTTAATAAGTTGAAATTTTTGTCACATTAAGTTTAATCATGAATTTGTTCAAGCATTTTCCTTCATTAATTCATCTTATTCTAGGAAAAAGATAAGCCTATGTGTTAAATAACAATGTAATTCCAATAGGGGGTTAACTTGGAATCTTTGAAACTTTTTGCTATTTTGAAGATGGTAAGTATGTAAGTTCTTGAAAACCTTTTTGAGAAATTTATAACACAAATGAACTCTTGTAAAAATCACTTTTCAGCAAACTAAGATTAAGAGAGTAAAGAGAAAAGCTTGCACAAGTAATTTTATAGAGGTTCAACCTTTGCCTACATCATCTGCCTTAGCAAGTTAAGGAGTTTGAATCCATTAAGAAGAAGTGCCTTTTGAAGGTCAAAGAACAACCTTTTCAATGAATTAGGTTTAACCAGTAAGCATTCTAACTAGAAATTATTGATACCTTTGGTAAAAGTATCGACACGTTGATTGCAAAATTGATAAATTTCACCCTGTTTAAGAAGTTTCAAGTTCGTTTGTGCTTGTATATACTCTCCTTAACCCTTAAAAGGCCTTTTTAGTCCTTTGGATGATATTTGTGATGCATGAGTTCACGTTCGATGAATCATTGAGTTTTGAAGCAATTGTACATATTCGATAAAATATATTTTTTAAAACACTCTTTTGTTTAGTTTGTTCCCCCTCCTTGTTTTTGCTCATTGAGAATTTTTATCTCACCACATGTAAATTCTTTTTTTTTTTAGATGAGTAGATTTTTAGTTGGTATCTATTGAGAGTCACTCTTTTATTACTTTTGGTTGATTATCAAGGCTCTTTACATGGTTATGGTTACCCTATTATGTTACTTTGCCAGTCTAGTCTTTTAATAGTTGGTTTGTAAATATTGATGGCGTTTGAGTTTGGACAAAGTAAGGCTAGAGATATTGTCTCCCATGCTTTGATTAATTGGTCGTGGTGGATAACTTGTTTGGAGGCTTGCTTGGGTCTTAATGAGCCATACCCATGTAAGCTTTTGTGTCAGTTGACAATTGGCACCAAGATTTTAAATTGATTTTTCTCACTTGAGCTTTCAAAATGATCATTCTCTTCCTTAAATGTGTTTGAGCTTTGTAACTAATAAGTCAATTTACTTGGTATGCTTAATGTCCTTTT